TTCAATTTAAAAAGTAAATAAATAATTTTCTTTTTTAAAAAAAGAGAAAGAAAAACCAGTCCTACCCCAGGTCTAGCCACCTTGTCCCGGGAGTCTTCCACGTCCGGCAGTGAGAGTCGCTCTACCGAAGTAACGCAAGGACTGCTGTTCCGTTCGTGGGGCTCAGGGCTCTGCTTATGAAAATGGTTGTTTCTACGCAGTAAGGTCTCCTCCTGAGAAATGTTTCCTCTCACTGTTAGAGGGAAAAGGCACTTATGGAGTTCTTCCCAACGAGAGCTGGTGGCCTGACAGGCAGTGGCTGCCCAAACTGGCCAGTGGGGGCCCAGCAGGTGAGGGAGAGAGCAGCTTTTTATTGAAAAAAACCCTCCACAACGTAAAAGTTGAGAAGTACGTTTTATTTGGCAGACCTTCTGAGGACTCAAGCCCGGAGGTGAACCCTCTCTGACAGCTCTGCGGAACTGCTCCCAAGAGGCAGGGTTGGAGCCAGGACTTTTGCAATTAAAAAAACCGGAGAGTCAGAACATCAAAAGAACACTGTTAATTAAAGAAGTCCAGACATCTCATGTTAGTGAATTCAGCGCTTTATTATACACGGGAAGGCAGAAGAGTCTGGGCTCACTGAATCCTTCCTTTGATGGGCACCGGAGCCATCTAGAGCCAGCATCCTGTCCTTTCCAGTCCTGAGTCCCCGCAGGGGCACCACCTGGGGCACCGCTGGGGTCGCCGGGGTAGCTGAGGGCTGGTCTCCATCCTGAGCTCCCTCGGGGCTCACCACGGGGCGCGGCAGTGGCTGAGGGCTGAGGCCCGCAGCATCCTCCGCTCACTGACATGGCAGGTGACATTCTTCATTCTCAAACTCCAACACCTGGATGTTCCCAGCAGGTTTTCCTCCCAGAGGAAGGTCCTGGCCGACCCCAGCCTCCCTCCCTTCGGGACCCTCATCCAGCCTGTGGGCTGTAACCGTTACCACGTCAGCTCGAGCCAACCCCTAGGGAGGTTAGGGCAGACTCAGCCCCCGACGCGTCTTTTCCTCTGAAGGAGGCGTGTCATCAGTTTGCTCTGTTCTCACGGCCCCACCGGTGAGTTACAGCAGGAGCTCTGTTGACATTGCAGCAGACTCATGAGGGAGAGAGACGGCCAATTTTATGTGCCAGCTAGGCTGGACCACGGGGGATCCAGACACTTGACTCAGTATTATTTCGGGGAGAGTCTGGGAGGGGGTTTCTGGATGAGATCAGCCCTCGTCAATGCACCCAGCAGGCAGCCTGCCCCCGTCAGTGTGGGTGGGCTCGTCCGGCCCTCGAGGGCCTGAGCAGAACAGAAAGGCTGAGAAAGGAACAAGTCACACTCGCCGCCTGGCCGTGGAGCTGCGACCTCGGACGGGACTGACACCATCGGGTCTCCTGGGCCTCGGGAACCTTGGGTGGAACGCCACCAGCTCTCCTGGGTCTACAGCTTCCAGGTGGAAGATTTCGCAGCACTTCTCAGCCTCCGTAATTTCATAAGCCTCTTCGTCATGGTAAGTGAAGATGGTCCCCCTAATGGTCTGACTTGGGATTTTCAACTTCACAGCGGCGTGGAAGCGGTGCACATTTGATAGAAACCGTACTTTGAATTTTGATCTTTTCCAGGGCTAGTGAGTGACGTGCAGTAGGGTACCACCCTGTGGCGCTAGGCAGTCCCACTCAGACAGGCCGCCACCAGGAGAGCAGCTGATACTCTGGCAGCCGTTCTGGACACAGCCGGCCATCCTGTTTCCCAATTTCAGTACAAGAGTCAGTAAGTTACCCGAGATTCTCAACACTTTATTATAAAATAGGCTTTATATTAGATGATTTTGCCCAACTGTAGGCTTATAAGTGTCCTAAGCACGTTTAAGGTGGGCGAGGCCAAGCTATGTTTGGCAGGTGTATTAAATGCATTTTCAACTTGAAATATTTTCAAATTATAAGGGGTTTATCAGGCTGTAACCCATCATAAGTCAAGAAGATCTGTATTTATAATATATATGATGGATATATTTATTATATGTATAAAATAAATATATTCATTGTATATAATATACATATTTATACATTATACAATAAATACTATACATGAATATATACCCATATATGCATCTTATACACACATATATATATCTATCTTCGATTGGTTCTGTCTCTCTGGAGGATCCAGGGAGCTTTGTAGTGAAAATGGCAGGCGGAAGGGGGAGGGAACAGCTCAGTGGTAGAGCGTGTGCTTAGCACGCACAAGGTTCTGGGTTCAGTCCCCAGCACCTCCACTAAAAATAAATAAACCTAATTACCCCCACCTCCTCCAAATTGGCACATGGGTTTAGAGGCAACATGCCAGGAGGAAGAAAACCCCAACCTTGGGAAACAGGAAAACGAGGCAAATAGTTCAACTATGAGAGAGAAAAATAATAATCTTTCATGTCTGGTCATTTCTTCTGAAATGGGTGAGTCACACTTGGCTTCCCGCTAACTAATCTAGTTTTATTTATTAAGATGACGATAGCAGTAACTTTGCACCCAAAGGGTAACACTTTCCCCTGCTCTAGATTCTGAAGAACACGCCTGCAATGGTCCTTCTGGTCCCCAAGTCCCAGCAAACTACACTGAAAGAGTCTGAGCACAATCTCAGCTCCTTAAAAGAGATGCTTCTGGCACAGCTGTTTTGGCTGTGTTACCATTTCCCCTGCTTCTAACTTAAGAAAACTGCCTTGGTAATCTAAGGTAGGTCTTTCTCTTTTTCCAGGAACCTCTAGACAATTGTTCCTTAAAGTCTAATTTCCTGTTCATATAAATGCCTCAATTCAGTCTTTTAAAATTCCTCCTGTATACCAGATTTTTATTTTAATTTTACATGGAACATAGTTGACCATAGCATTAACCAGCAGCTATAATTTGAAAAAACTAGTCAACCCTGGATTATGCCAAAGAATGAACAGCAATAGATCTGACTCCCAACTTCAACCGGCACCTCCTGTTTCTCATTACAAACACTTTCTCTCAGCCGGCAGGCCGCTTTACAGACAGATCACAAGGACTCTCTTTTTATCGGTCCAACTATTTTATCTTACTTACTTGGTTTTTTTTTTTTTTTTTTTTTGAGGGGCAGGTAATTAGGTTGGTTGGTTGGTTGGTTTAAATGAAGGTACTGGGGCTTGAACCCAGGACCTCGTGCATGCTAAGCAGGCACTCCACCACTAAGCTGCACCCTCCCCTCATAAGAAGGACATTCTGAAAAACATCCTGACGTCCTGCTGGGGCTGGGCGGACACCACATCCAGGGACAAAGAACGGAGCAGCTGGTGGCTTTCGGTGCTCTCTCATCAAGTTCTGCAGCAGCCCAGGAGCCTACCCCAGGCCCTCTGCAGGTCCACAAACACTTGAGAATCAGCTTACGTGCACACATACAGAAAACAGCTCCTGGGATTACACTGAACGCACAGCAAACCTGTACTTTGGAATGACAGCTTAACAACACTGAGTCTCCTGACCGTGAACAATACCCCTGTCTATTTAGGTCTTCTTTAATTCATCACAGCAATATTTTATAGTTTTCAGTGTACAGGTCTTTCACATTTTTTGCCACTTATTCCCAACTATATTTTGATGCTGTTGTAAACACTGATTTTTATTTCAATTTCTAATTGTTCATGGCTAGCATATAGAAGTAGTTGATTTTCTGCACATTGTTTTATATCCTGCAATCTCGAAAAACTCACTTTTTAGTTCTAACATCGTTTGTAGGTTCCACTGAATTTCCTACATAGATGATCACATCATCTACGGGAAAAAAAAGACAATTTACTTTTCTCCATTTGGGATGTTCTTGATTCCCTGCCTGATCGCACAGTCTAGAATCGCAAGGACAATGAACAGACATCCCTGTGCTCCTGACGTCAGGGGGAATGTAGTCAGCCTTTCACAACTAAGTCTGATGTCAGCAGCAGGGTTTTGCAGATACCGTTTAATCAGGCTGAGTAAGTTCCCTTTATTCCTAGTTTGCCTGGGTTTTTATCGGAAATAGATGGTGGACTTTGTCAAATGCAATTCCAGTGTTAACTGAAACGCCCGTGTGAATGCTAACTCCACCCTGCACCCCCAGGATAGACCCCAGACCGTGATCTGTTACCTGTTTATTATACGATAGGTTTCAACTGACTAAATTTTTGCTTAGAATTTTTGCACCTGAGTTCATGAGAAATATTGTTTTGTCATTTTCTCGTAATGTCTGGCTAAGATACCTGGGTAATTTCGGTACTGGGGTTGTTGACCCCCTAGAATGAATGGGGAAGTATTCCCTCCTCTTTTGAGTTTCTGGGTGAATTTGCGTAGAATTGGTATTATTTCCTCAGTTTGGTAAAACTCACCACTGAAGCCATCTGGATCGTAGGAAGGTTTTACCCGCTTCTTCTTGAGTGAGCTCTGGTACTTGTGTATTTCAAGGAACTTATCCCTGTTCTTGAATTTATTGGCATAAATGTGTTCCTAACATTCCCTATCGTTTTAGTATGTGTAGGATCTTTAGTGATGGTACCTCTTACTCCTTATGCTGGTGATCCATCTTCCCTCACCAGTCTGGCTGGAGATTTATCAATTTTATTGATTTTTCCCAAAGGACAAACTTTTGGATTACTTTTTCTCTGTTTTTGTTTTTTGTTTCACTGATTGCCACTCTGACCTTTATTATTCCTTTTCTTCTGCCTGCTTCGAATTTAATTTGCTCATTTTTCTAGTTTCTTCAAGCGGAAACAGGGGACCGATTTGAGCCCTTTCTTCCTTTCTAATACAGATCTTTAAAGCTTCACTTTCCCTCAAAGTACTGCTTTGGCAGCAACTCACAAATCCCAGGTTTGTTTTTTTTTCCATTCATTTCAAATTACTTTCTAATTTCTCTTGAGACTTGCTCTTTGACTTGTGAATTATATTTCCAAATGTTTGGGGATTTTCAAGGGTCTTTGTTATTGATTTCTAATTCAGTCCCATGTGGCCAAATAAAAATTTATTTAAGCTGCTCAGAATTCTTATGGTTCACTGAGACATTAAAAAAAAAAAAAGGTTCTTGATAGGTATTCCAGAAGTTTTAGCTGTTTTTTAGCTGGTCCTTATTAGCCATGCTGCTGGCAAAAAAAGTATTCAACTTGTTCCTTAACAACATACAGTATCCAGAAGCCCCTCCTGACCCAGGAGCAGCCGGTGAGCACACACACTCAGGAGCCAACTGGCCGGGATCCAGTCTCAGACCCATCAGCAGCGTGACCTTGGGGGCTCATGTAGACTCCCCGCCTGTTCCCTCCCAGGACTGATGTGAGGATTAAACAGCACCAACCGCAGGAACTGGCTCTGGTAAGTATGATGTGAGGACTTCTTTTTACTATTGTGTGAAAGGTTGTAATCATGTGCCTGAGTCACAGCACACATCTTACCAGTGGTCCCACAACCCCTGGTCCCCGGCCATCCTGGCCCAGGGCACCACGCAGTGACTCCCTCCCTGGGCTCATACTGACAGGGAGGAATCAGCTATGAGCTTCCACTGGACGGTGGGCCCAGGTGCAGTCACAGGATGGGCCTGAGGCCAGAGCAGATGCCAACGGATGCTGATCTAAGAAACGTCATCACCATCCAGGTTGCAGTGAACACAGTCCTTTTACTGACGAGAAGTCTGAAAACCAGCATAAACATAAACGAACGTGACTTTAATCCTGCACGTGTCACAGCGGATAGTGGTCACCTGTCCTGCGCGTCACGGTGGACAGTCATCACGTGCCCTGCACGTGTCACAGCAGACAGTCGTCACCTGTCCTGTGCGCGTCACGGTGGACAGTCATCATCTGCCCCGACAGCCATCTGAAGCCAGTAGTCCTGATTACTAAAAATCACAAAGTTGTATAAATGCTCTCCTCCTTTTCCAAATCCGTGCTCGTTTTCTCTCCAGGAAACAGGGCTGTCTGCGAAGCCTTGAACCGACAAGGTCACCCACGGGGCCAGCTTTGGTTCGTCAAAGTAGTGACTGGAAAAGAAAGGTACTCTTAACCAACACGGGAGAGCTAGGAACGGTCACATTCTTTCTTTACTTATTCAGGATGAGAGGTACTTCTGATGTTCCTATGAAGCTTAGGCCTTAGTTTTATTTCTAAGAATTAGGAGATGCAAATTAAATCCCTGCTGCTATACTGGGAAGCCAGTAAAGGTTCACCAGTATACACGCACAGGACAACTTGAGCTGTTCCCACCCTTACTGTGGAAGACCACGTAAGACTGAGAGAACAAAGTGTATGAGCATCGTCCCCCTCCCTGGGGCAGGGCTGCTTCTGGGGTCTCTGTACACTGAACACGGCAGAGTAATTTATCCAATTTGTTTCTTCTAACTGAGTGAATCTTTAAAACTTCAATCTTCTCATTGAGGAGCATCAAAGTACTAAGCTAATGATGTTGGGTTTAAAAAGGAAAGCCCTGCACCCTTAACTCTTCACTTTCTTAAGTGAAGACGGAGTAGGCACTGTGCTCCCCTGACAGTCTCGTCCGCGTGGGACTCGAGTCTCCTGACACTGACCCAGGACCTCCCGGAGGGGACAGCCCAACACTGCCTGTCAGCACGCTCGGCCCGGCACCAAAGCCCAGTGGACGTCAGAGCTGGAACAGATCTCAGAGCTCATCTGGACTGAGCCGGTCAACTCCTCCTCACCCATGTCAGAATGAAGCGTTCTGTGGGGCTCCAATGTTTACCACCGATCAGCCTGTGCTCCACAGAGCATCGCTGGCTTCTTAGGCGATGTTATCGCTTCAACGGCACCAAAACGGTCTCGGGGAGCAGAACAAGAAAAGTGAGCCGTTTGTTCCGAAGACGCGTAGTTAAGCTCTGCTCTTTGTCTTTTTTTTCCCTTTCAGTGTAGCTGATTTGCAGTGTTGTGTTAGTTTCAGGTGTACAGCACAGTGATTCAGTTATACATATACACACATACAAATACATACATATATTCTTTTTCATTATAGGTTATCACAAGTTACTGAATATAGTTCCCTGTGCTGTACAGTAGGTCCTTGCTGTTCGTCTGTTTTATATGTAGTGATGTGTACCTGCTAATTCCAAACTCCTAATTTATCCCTCCCCAACTCTTTGTCTTTTCATAAGGACAAGTATGTGACAGTATCACCAAGGATAATTATGTCACTTAAGATGGTCATGTTACTGAACACGAGCCCAAGCCAGGAAGGGGACACAGTGTGAGAGGACCCTGGAATGCGGACCATGAGCGCTGCCCCTAACACATCAGAGATGTGAATGTGAAAGGATGTGAAAGGCAGAGAGCGCTCTCACCGCAGCTGCTCCAACAGGAGATGTATCTTCTCCGGAAGTATGAAGCCCGTGATGGTGCAAAGGTAGGCTTTTGCCACCACTGTGCTTGGCTGGGGACAGCAGTAGGTGGATATGAAATTATTTGGCTCGTTATTTCTGTAACAGAAAAATAAAAAGAAAACATCCTTCTATCTAGCACACGATCACTTCCAAGTAGCAAGCCCCTGTGAAAACTGGAGGCCAGCCCAAGCCCCCCGGCCTGCATACGCACAGCTCGGCGTGGCTGAAGACGGCACCCAGCCAGTCCAGGAGCTCCCGGGCGCCACACGCCGCCCCAGGTTCGCCCCTGAGCTGGCCGCTCCGCAGCACCGGGCACCGCAGCTCTGCCACCGCACCCAGCACCACGTCAGGCTGACGCTCCTGAATTCCGTAATCGGAAAAGTGTGACATCATCGCCGATTCTTCTGCACCTGGAGACACACCAAATAAGGCCACCTGAGGCGTGCAGATGAATCCACCCCTTCCCACTGCAGAGCTCCGGGCAGCAGGCAGGACGCCGTGAGACCAAAGGGAGTTTGTCTTATTCAAACTTATTCAAATCTTATTCAAAGTCATTGACGTTGGCTTCTGTGCCCTGCGCCAAGTTCTGTAAACATTCCGATCTTCTGTTACGTCTCCCAGAAACTCATCATACGTTCAGATCTGACCCATACTTGTTTCATCATTTGCTCTAAGAACCTTTTGATTTAATAAAACCCAAAGCATTATCTATGTTTAAAATTAGGGACCTCTACAGAGAATGGAGCGTATCTGCACATGCTCTAAAAAGGAAACAGAAGAGGAATGGAACGACAGAATCTCAGTCAGGCTTGTTTTTAAAACCGAGCGAGATCCAGTGTATCCTGAAGGATTTTCTAACAGACTTGGACCTTTCACAGGTCTTGACGAGCCCTTAAACTCCTAAGAAGTCTTAGGAACACGGAGCTCTCCAGAACCCAACGCGTAGGAGGTCCTCAACAAAGACTTTGTGCAACTGAGATGTCAACCTGTGTCTGTCCTCATGTAGAGGAGGCACTGAAGTGTGACAGACCCAGGGCTCATGTGAGCAACGCTGCAGCGTCCAGGGACCCGGAACTCCCCAGGGGCAGCAGACAGATGGGCCTGTTTCCCAAATGGACCCCTGTGCTTCCCACTTCTCCAAACAAGAGAACCACACCACCGTAACTGTGACGATCTGATTCATTATAACCTTGTTTGGGGCCAGAGGTACACTTCTAAAAGGAGCGAGGCACACAGCCTTTGTAAGCAGATTAAAATGTTCGGCGAATGTCAAACTTGGAACTAAATGTTCTAATCAATTAAAAGTTTCAACAGATTAAGTCTGACACTTAATGACATGCCCGATTATCACCCTACAGTGATGAACAAGCAGTTTGTATGGATCACTGTAACAGGTGTCATTTTAAGACAGTCCAGTCAAGGCTGTGGGAGGTAAGCTGGAGGAAGGAAGGAAGGGAAGAAACAGGTGAAGATCAGCTGCTCTGAGACCACTCTTGGGAGTTCTGGACATAAAACCCAAGGAAGTGGAGGTGGACGGCTGCACACCTCGCTGATCCTGGCTGCGCTCTCGGGGTGTCAGAGGGGCCACAGCAGCTTCCTTAATAATGTTTGCAGTCGCTCCCACCATCCGAAAGCAAAGCGTTTCTACGAAGCCCCTCGTTAAGTTGAAACGGCATAAAGCTAAGAAGCGATTACCTTAGGATGCATCTTGCTGACAGATGCACAAAGCAAATCAGCGTCAGGCACAGATGCTCACGGACACCGATCAAAGCTCTGCCAGCTAGAGGCTGAGATGCTGAGCGTGGTCCTGGGGGAGGCAGCTTAGCGGTGCCTCTCACTGCTGGGGCGTGCACTGCCTCTGTAACACCTCACTGCAAAACTCATGCTGAACACTATCTTCACTTTACTCTCTTTTTGTAAAAGTAAAGGAGCATTAAGAGAACTTTTGACAAGCGGGGGATACCTGTATCCATCCAGGTACAAGATATTCCCTGACTGCTGGGATGGATCGCCCTTCCACCCTCCATGACTCCCCTTTACTTAACACTGAGATTTCAAAATCACTGTAGCATTACCTGTTTGATGCCAAGCCAAAAGGAAATCAAATTTCAATGGCTTCTTTTCTTTGAAGGACCAAGATACTCTTCCATATTTCTTAGAGTCCAGGTTAGAGGCTAAATCCATCAAGTCAATGGAAACAACTTAAAAAATGTAAAGAGGGATAAACAGTTTATTAACATGTACAGAGCTTGCACTGTGCAAAACGTAATGGGTTAAAAACATCTGAAGTTTCAAAAGCTTTATGGATTAAAGAAAGTTATTTTGTCCTTCTTGCCTCCCTTCGGTTCACCAAATCAAAACTCTGCCTTTCATGGGCATTTGTGGCACCGAGAGCTAATCACAACAGACCTTTTCAGCCCACACTCTTCCTAGTCGAGACCAAGGGCAGAGGCCCTGGAAGGTCACCTCTTACCCCGCCTGTGGAGGGGGCGGCCTGAACCACCGATGTCCAAGCCGGGTATTACGAGCAGAACTGCAGCTCTTCACTCACAGCTGAACATCTACCATTACAGAGCTTGGGAAAATTAAAGGAAATTCCTTATTAAGAATAAGTTGGGTTCATCACTTTGAAATCTGGACCCAAAACCTATGTATCTATCGGACCACAACCAAGTCTGTGATCTTTGTGAGATGCAGCCGACAGCCGCAGACAGACAGGAGCAACAGCAGTGTCTCATCCTCCTTCCAGGCCAAGGGGCCCTGGAATCAGAAGTTTTAAAGGCAAGAAAAAGCCATCCTTTTTCGGAACAAAGAGAACAGAGGCGATTCAAACATCTACATTTAAATTGCTACAAAGACCACTGCCTTGTTAGAAACTGACAGATCGAGTGTAACACTTACTAAATTTCATGACTTTCCTGCCGGAATACTGGGATGGACGGCCCTGAAGTCCAGTTTCTTCGTAAGTGTCTTTATCCAGTGATAAAATTAGCTTCCCTACAAATCAAATCATAATTCCCATAAAAGAGATGTTAAAAATGTAAAATGTTCTCAGACTAAGAGAAAGCAAGGCAAACTGAGCAGTTAAGTATCAGTGCATACAGGGACCTGATTTACAACATAAGGGTGTCAATCAGACGACATACATCGTATTTATAATACAAGGGTATTATTTATATATTATACATACAAAGATTATTATAGTGAAACTAGAAATCATCTAAATTTCTACTAAAGAAGGAATAAAATTATGGTACTCTTGTTTTTTTTTTTGAAGGGGATGTAATTAGGTTTTTATTTATTTATTTAAATGGAGGTACTGGGGATTGAACCCAGGACCTCATGCATGCTAAGCACGCGCTCTATCACCGAGCTACACCCACCCCCATGGTACACCTCTTCTTCAAAATGTTTTCAAGACATTAAAAACAGTAAGTTAGAACTATAGGAACTGATGTGGAAAGATGTCTATAATACTTAGCTTGGGAAAAAAGCCAATTGAGAAAAAATGGAATATATGTTTTATAAAAAAAAGAACCTGTATGTGTGTTTATAAACTCACAGAAAATGTCTAGAAGAATAAACACCAGCCTGCTCACAACAGTTCCTTCTAAGAACGGGAGGGAGTTTGGAGAGACGGGGATGAAAGGGGAGACTTTCACTTTATATACATCTGTATAACTCGACGTTTCCTTTTTTACAGTATGTATTTCCTTTATACTTAAAGAAAAAATGTGCGTGCTTACCATTTGGCAGCAGGGCGACTGTATTATCCTCATCGATATTTGTGTTGTACGTCAGCGCGTAGCATGAACCTGTAAGAGGAAAAAAGCCCAGAGAAGTGAAGACAAGAAAAAAAAATCACACCTGCAGAAAGTCGGTGGATTATTTTCACGTGATAAATCTCCGAGGTCACCGCTCCCGCTCACTCAGCAACCCCAAAACCTGCGCAGGCTCAGCTGGAGGACACGGGCGGCCGAGCACAGCCAGTTCCCGGCCCTGCCCAGGGCCTGTTGTGCAAGCCGACTACTGTCCAGCAGAAAATGGACTCAGGACGGAGCGTGTGCCTTCGGGGAGGCCGGCCGAGATCCCAAAGTGGAAGACTAGGTTAAGTGTACACACATGAGAGGCAGACTTCCAGGTTAAGATTCAAAATGTGCCAAGAACTTGTGTGAAGTCAAAAAAGCCATGCAATTTCTCTGAGCCTCAATTTCCTCCTACAATTTCCCCAACTGTGAAGTGGGGATCGAGGGCTTATTTTGTAGTTTTGTTGCAAAGGTTAAATCAGGTAAGCTACATGAAAGTGCCAGCATCCACACCGTTAACAAAACATCAAACTTCAAAACAGACAAAAGGAGTAATGTCAAAGACAAGATGTAAGTGGCTCTTGTGCAGTGACTTATGTAGTGAGGGTGGAATCCCCAAAGACACTCTGAAATCATTTCAAACAAGTGGCTCCCAGGAAGCAACTGGAACAATCAACCCATGGGAATGGGGTGGGCAGAGGAGGGCGAGAGCCTCGAGTCTAAGCGGAAGACGACGAACAACAATCAGCACCTGGCTCCGTGGACAGCTGCCGCGGCTGCATCAGGGCACCGACCTTCAGTCTGCCGTGGGGGCTGCGGGGAGCACAGAGGTGTCTGCAGCCACATCCCCAATGGCAGTGCACCTGAACACAGCGATCCAAGGGCTTTCCCCCCCATTAACCCTCACGGCACAACAGCCCCACGCAACGCCTGTGCAAGTGTAACTAGAAACCACCACCCAACGTGGGCACAGAGAGTAGGACGAGGGACGGAGGGACGGAGGGAGTGACACATGACTTGAGCACACACACTATCTCCACAAGCCCTCTTCAAACCCGGGGAAGAACCCTAGTATAGGGATGTGAGCGACCTCTGCCTCCTCATCTCACCGCGTTCACAGACATGACGCGGGTTTTCTTACCTTTCTTTACGAAAGTATTGATGAATTCGTGAGTGATTAACTCATGGAGAGGTAAATCCTTCACAAAGTAATAGGGTCCAGTTTTCATGACCAGTTCTTTCAGTTCTTTTGACAGTATCCCACATTCAGGAATCAGAAGTGAAACCTATTGGAACGTGTAATACAAACAAGCCTTACTTTCATGTAGATCAACCCCAGGCTTTCGGGGATGATGCAACATCATGAAGGCTGCTGACTGTTCCTCCACGGGTTTCAAGAGGACTCTTAAATTTACTTACCAAACTCAGGAAAAGAGAAATTTGACAATTCAAGCTTTTCATTTCTGAACTCAAGTGTAAAGCTGAACGAGCAAAACAATTTTAACGGAAAGCGCTTGCATTTTATCTTTTGCAAATGAGCAATCTATTTTCTGTCCCATTCCCTTCACTACTTCAATTAATTTTTAGGGAAATACAGCGCAATGGAATATCCCTAGGTCTGTTTATCCTGGTATCAGGCTGGAGTCAAAGGAACTGTCCCTTAGGGCGTAAGGAATTTAGAGGAACTAATTAAGAGGTTACATGGACGCAGAAGTCTGCTGGAGGATTCCACTTTGCAGATAGAAAAACTCTACAGATCAGACCCGGGGAGGATAAGGCACACATCCCTGACTGCTCTCTGTGATGCGCTTTCCATCCAAAGCAGAGATATTAAAGGTGACAGGTTTCAAATGTCGCTCAAGAGCTCCCCAACTTGAAAACCCATTCTCCCAAAGCAAGAACACCAGCCTGTTCCACTTGTGTGGAAAAACTGGCCAGTCCGGCCTGAGCTGAGATTAGGCTGATCCGTTTAAACTGTAAAAGGCTTAAATCATTTTCATTTTAAGGTTTTTTCTGAAGCTCTCTCGACTTCCATGGGTGGGTGAAACCGGCCCACCAGACACCTGCCTGGAAATTGGGGATGTTCTCTTCTACCCTCAGCAGATCCTGGAGAAACGGTAACTAACCTCACTGACGCCGCAACCGCCACGCCCGCGAAAAAGGCGCCCCGTGTTTCACGAAGCAACAGCGAATGTTGCTCTAACGTTGTGCCTGCGGGCAGGGCCACCTGGCGAATTCCCACCAGACGCTGCCGAAGTGGTGACTCCGACTGGACAACGCAGACGGAG